TGCAGTGTCTGGGTAAGGATGGGGCTACCCTGCTTATGGCTGGCAAGTTTTAAGGGAATGGAAACATTTGCTTGTTTCAGTTTTTTGTTCCAATGAGGTTCATTGCACACAGGATCTGGTTCCACACATTTTTCTGTTTCTTAACAACTTCAAAGAATATTCAACAAGTGTTTCTTTTATAGCTAAATGTGTCTATCACTTATAGGGAATGATGACCATGTATATGTATGGTATAGCTAGTGTGGTACAATGATTTTGCTGTACACCTCTAAATTATGGAGCATTTTATAAGTATATTCCTGCAAGAGAAAGATTACTGCAGTATTGAGCTATGTAAATTGGTATTAAACTTCATCAATTCCAATGTACATAATTATTATTCCGTTCATCAAAATTGGATAACATTTCTACAGGTAGTACTGATACTATAGTCATACACTACCAACAACATAAGGAATATTATTACTTGCTTTCAGACTGGCAAAATGAATATTTAGATAGCAGCAAAGTAGTAGGAAAGGCGTTATTTACCTGGTATACTCGCGCTGAAAAAAAAAAGTAACGAGAATCCATNAAAGGCGTTATTTACCTGGTATACTCCCGCTGAAAAAAAAGTAAAGAGAATCCATGTTAGCATAAGGCTTGTGGTGCTCTGCTCAGTAAGTGAGCAATATTAATTTATAAACGGATTTTCGTGCTCGACAATGAAATTGTATTGATCATAACAATTAGATGTGCAAACAAATTGAAGAAATACATAGAATGGGTTTAAAGGGAGGGACTAGAAGCCCAAAAACAAACAATAAAGCAGATAATATCAGTCTTCCTCGATACAATAATGAAATAGCACGAACTTTTTCAAGATTTGTGATGTGTCCGAGTGTTAGCATAAGGTTAAAAGTTGTTAATATACAGTGTATGTTGACGTGTTCCTTACTTACATTTTGGTTGGCACTTCCAGCCATCTCTTGTGAGGTTCCTGCAAAATAAGGAAACGTTGGTAATGTTATAGGGAGGACCTCTTCGTGTGTACGAGTGCAAATTCAATCAAATGTTCATGGCCTGCGTAGTGTGATAGCTATTAATGACGTTAAGGTTTTACCTCTATGTGATGCTAGGGCTCTCTAGTTTTGGTTTTGCAGCGATTCTTTTTTTCTTACAAGGCTTTAAACTACAATAAACAGCCCGCGATTGCAACTGACTGTTCGGACAAGACTGACAATCCTTTCTACATGTAAAACACTCGCCTGTCGTAAGCGTTCCTTTAAGATAATTTGCTAGCTTTTGGGAACCGTCGAAAAATGACTGAAGCAATGCTTTTACCGAGGAGCTCGACTGTCCAAAAAGTACTTGTTAATCGCCGCAAAATGAGGTGCATACATCCCTCCGTACGAAATGAAACTTGGACCCAGACGAGCTCAAATTCGCCATGTAAAGAGGCTGACATGCGCACCATCTTGCGAATTTCAGGCGTTTTTTCGAGACTTAAATGTGTTACATTGTCGATTAAAGCCTACCTTATCCGAATTTGGGAAGAAAAACCACAGAGGTTACCTTGAATGCAGTTAGATTCCGGGGAACCGAACGATTTCTAGAGCGCACGTGCACCGTACTACACTGTGTGTGTTCTGTGTGATCACGTGATAGAGCTGTGTCACAAAGCCAAAACATAAACTAATCACCTTGGCCAATCACAAATGAACATACAATCCGGGAACTAATCAAAACTCGAAGTAATTACATGCAGCTGACCCAAAGCGCGGGAAAACGAGTGCGACTGATGATTGGATGAAAAAGTGGCCCGAGTATTTTAGCTAATAGTGTCGCCTAGTTGATGCAAAACCAATTTATGAATTTTTTTTTTGCGACACTCGAACGAAAACTGTTATATTGTTGACGATTGGTGGTTACAACAAAAGAAATATCATTTTGCGCGGCTTTCAGCCAGTGAAATAACGCTTATCTCCTGGATGACTGGTTTGGGTCTACGCTACATGTGGATACCAAAACAGCATGGTACGTTGAGTAAATCCGTTTGTGTTGGAAGTATCGCCGGACAGCTTCGTTTATCGCGTTGTTTGCTGACTTGTAGCCAGCATCTAGTGCGTGATAGGCCGTCCAAAACTGTTTTTTTATCCTTGACGGCCTGTGGCTCTTGCACGATCGCGTTGGGGAATGCTTGAAAGCTCCTTAGACGCGGTTTCCGCTTTCTCAAGCAGCAATGAAGTCGGATTCAAGCTTAGTTAGGCCCTCCGGCTGTTTTGCTTTGAGCAATATTTACCCCGGAGAAAAATACTGATTGTTTTCTAGTAGTATTTTTGCTATTTTTTAATTCAAAGACAACGAAGAAACGAGTAGTATTAAAGCACTCGATTTGACCTCGGTTATGAAAGCGAAACATGTTTAGTTTTAATGCCAGCAAACATCGACGTCCTCCATTTGCACCTGCTGAATGATATATTTTTGTGTGAATTTAGACCATGCGAAATTGATTGTTACCCTAACAACTGGCTTGAAAATGAAACGGCTTCGCTTTAGAGCTAAAATATTGCCCTTTAAAACACTACCTGTACCAGATACTTCACTTCAATTTCCCCGATCGTTGTCGTCGATGACATAAAAATAATTTCCACAGATTGTAACGATGGTTGCGATGATAAATATAACAGGATGCACTGTGTCGTTGTTTGAGCGAGGTCCTGTCGGGCAATTTTTTTTACTAGGTCGGCAATTTGGTGTTGATTATGTGGAAACTGGTGAGCGAGCGAAATCGTGAGGAGTTATTTATCAACTTTTATGCAGCGATGACAAGTATCTTAGCGATCGTAGCCTTTTTCTTTCATTGTTTGTAATACTCTCCTATTCTAAACTTCGATTAGAAAATAAAACACGGTCGTCATCTTTGTTAAATAAAATTTGCATATACCTTTTGGATATATCGCGTTGCAGTTAAATAAAGTGCATTTTCATTGATATTGTTTTGAGGTACCATAACACAGTTCTTCAAAATTAAATACTGTATTTTGATATTGTAATCATAAGTCCAGTGGAACAAAGATTTGGAAAAATCATTTAGACTAGGAACTATGTGTGGACCTATTTTACATCGAAAACGGGAAAATATTTTATTTTCATAACCTAGGAGAACCTATGATTCCAAGCTGTTGCCGTACTTGAATCTTTTTCAGTAAATTACATGCTATGTTTTTGTTCGGCTACGAATCCCTCAGTGAGTATATACCCAAAAAAGACATTCATTAACGCAAGTACATGTACCTTCTTTGTAACATCTTGTCTTGTGTGACGTCAGAAAGCTCCTTTCGTGACGGACCCAACTTGAAAGGTTGTGTTTAGG